ATATAGCGAGGTAACGTTATATCGGGGTTATACAAAGACCTTGACCTTCATAGACATTTTTCTGTCACTTCTTAGAAACTTGAAATACGATACTTTAAACAATTTCGGTGAATATTGTACCTAAACTCGTCATAATACTTGGGAGTTACTGATATACAGGGTGAAATGAAAAAACTGCAACCAAATTTAGACTGCTGCCATTTCTAAGTCACTCGTCCGACAGATGTTGACATTTTTCCAGTGACAGCTCATTATATTGCTTACAAGCGTACAAAAGCATTCTGGTGAGAATTTTCCAGAAAAAAAGTTATTCGTGATGAAATTCAAGCGTAACAAAGTGATTTTTTTATATTTGGCTGCAAAATTACAAGTGGCTATCGTTAGAGCACTCCAACATTTAAATGTAAATAAACCTTTTGTATCTCATACCATCGCTCGTTACCGTGATACTGGTAGCGTAGCCCGACAGCAGAAATGGTTCGAAAAGTAAAGAGGCGGCTTGATCGAAACCCACGTTGCAGTGGCCGAAAAATGGGTCGTGAGCTAAATATATCGCAATATTCCATTCGGCAAATATTGAAAAATGAGCTCCGGGTAAAGTCACTGAAATTCTAAAAAGTGCAAAAACTTACACCGCAACAGACAGAAAATAGACTCAAAAGAGCTAAAGAGTTGCTTCGCTTGGTCGAAAGTGGTGAACTGCCGAATTTGGTTTTCTCCGATGAGAAAACATTCGTTGTCCAGCAGTTTGTAAACAAACAAAATGATCGTGTTTACTTGCCAAAGAGGTCAGCAGGAAATGTGCCCCTTCGGTTGGCCACCAGAACTCAAGCGCCGGTCATGGTGATGGTGTGGGCCGCCAATCGACCGTGGCATCAAAATAAATGCCGAATATTATCGCGAAAATATTCTGGACCTGCAAACATGCCTTGGACATGCAAACATTTTGGCCGCAGACCTTGGACATTCCAACAGAACTCAGCACCATCGCACTCAGCACGCGCCACCCAAGAATGGTTACAAAATGAGCCACCAAAATCTCCGAAAACCAATCCGTAGGACTATTGTGTCTGGAGTATTTTGGAAAGCAAGGTTGACACTAAAAAACACTAAAGTGTCGATCACCTTAAGCAAGCGCTTCGCCGTGAATGTATAAAAATGCCGCAGAGCAACATTCGGGCAGCGTGCTACGGTTTTGAAGGCCATAATTCGTGCCAAAGTTGACCAATTCAAACAAATCTAAACTTATTCTAAAATTTGATGCTATTTTCGACATTTTTTGCTTCTAAAATCGTCAGAATACCGAATATCGGAAGGTAGTTATATATGGGGCCTATACGAAGACATGAACCTGCATAGACAATTTTCTGGCAGAGACTGTAGTTCTCATTACGAATTCTAAATACGAAATTTAAAACAACTCCGGTCAATAATGTCGCTAAAATCATCAAAATACCGAATATTGGGAGGTACCGTTGTATGAAGGCTAAACGAAGACGTGGGCCTGCATTTGCAATTTTTTTCTTAGGCTGTAGTACCCATTACAAATTCTAAATTTGAAATAACTACGGTCAATAATGTCCCTTAAATCGTCAAAATATCGAATATCGGGGGTACCATTTTATGGGGGATATACGATATCGTGGAAATTTACCAGGGGGTAAAGTACTCAGAAGGAACTCTTTTTTTTTCATTTTTAGAAAATTTCATTGAAAAAATTGGTTACAGTCATCAAAATTCCGAATATAGACAGGTACCGTTATATGGAGGCTATACGACATCGTGGACCGATATAGCCCATCTTCGAACTTGACCTGCCTGTATACAAAAATGATATGTGCAAAAATTTAGCTTCCCATCTTAATTTGTTTTTAATCTAGCGTGATTACAGCAGGCGAACAGACGGATGGACCAATGGATTTTTAGTAAAATTCTACGCTGATCAAAATTATGTTTACTTTGTTGGGCCTAAAATTATTATTTCGATGAGTTACGAACGGAATGAGGAACTTAATATACCTTCCATACTGTGTATATGTATATATAGTGGAGGGTATGTTTATGTTCTCGGAGCATCATTTGGACTCAAAACCATCTCAGAGTATTGAATTCACAACCTTCAGCTTTTGATCGGACATACACACGCTTTACCACGGTTACTCATTACTTGGAAATAAGTTAAAAAAAAAAATCTCTTGTCTTGTAAATACTTTGAGAAATAAACCCTTATTTTCTAATCCATTGGTAATGCAAAAAGTAGCTTATATACATTACCCAGTAATGAGGCTACCAAATTTTTGCTAGGTATAACTAATTTAATGGAGCCTTGTATGAGCTCCAGAGATTTATGTTATTTTAGAAAAATATTGGTAGTTCGTATTTGAATCTGGATTTCTTAACGAAAAAAAATCTAGACAGTCCTCACGTCGATTTGGATCGATACGCAACCGTCTGACACACACAAACACACACTCCCATTGTACTTATAAAGAAAAGTGCGTTATATGCAAATAAATATTTACCATCTATGTGAGTGTGAAGATTCATACATACAAACATATATTCCGGCGTACACATGCCGTAGACTCTAAATGCAGTGCAGTGCATAAGTAAAACAATAGAGCACAAAAGAATGAAGGAGAAGAAAACAAAACATAACATAAAGAAGAAAAAAAAACGAATAAACCAAGTTAAAGGAAAAAAACATTACTCATCCAGTGCATTTTGAGAATGATGATGGTGGTGGTGGTGGTGGTGGTGTTGGTGGTGAAAACAGCTTCGTAGCCAAATGCACGTGCATAATGCACTGCAGAGGTTGTTTTTTTCATACGTTTGCAATAATTACGAATATGTAAACAAATAGAATGCAATCAAATGGTGTTACCAAATGTGCGGACTTTAATAATATCTGTGTTTATGTCAAAAACAAACAAAAAATGGACGGAATGAAATAGTGCCATTATCAAAAAAATTCCTGCATTACTTCTGTCTAAATTTTGGTTTTTACTGTCTACAAATATTTTTATACCCTCCACCATGCATAGCACGGAGGATATATTAAGTTCGTCATTCCATTTGTAACTCATAGAAATAATAATTTTAGACATAACAAAGTATATATATTCAGCGTAATCAGCGTAAAATTCTTAGACGATTTAGCCCTGCCCGTCCGTCCGTCTGTTGTAATCACGCTGGAGTCAAAACGAATTAATATAGGAGGCTAAAATTTGGCACTGAGGCAGGTTAAGTTCGATGATGGACGATATCGGTCCGAGTTATCGTATGGCCTCTATATAACGGTATCCACCGATATTCGCTATTTTGATAATTGTAGCCATATTTTTCGATGAAATTGTCTGAAAACTCACAAAAGGAGTTCCTTCTGAGTACTTTACCGATTTGACGATTTTAGGTACAATATTCACCCATATTGTTTGAAATTTTGTATTTGAAGTTCCTAATAGGTACTACTGCCTACTGCTTGTCTATGCATGTCCACGTCTTTGTATAGACCCCAATATAATGGCTACATAGACTCACGTTTTATAATAGCTCCCTATACCAAGATACCTCCTGATTTACCTTATTTTGAAGGTTTTGGGCCAATTTTTCAATTAAACAAAAACTCCAATTTTTGGTTTCCCACTGCAAAATATATTCAATATACGTTCCCCCTTCCACCCATATAACTTTACCACCTGGTTTTAAGTATTTTTAAACCAATTGACCCAATTTCCAAACCAAATCCACTGTAATCGGAAATTTTATAATATAAGCTTATTGGAATGTTTAAGGTCTTGGTTCCACTCTCAAACCAAATCAGTTATATTTGACAATTCGGGTTCCTTTCGCATGATTTCCTCGCAAAAATATTCAAAATAGGTTCACTTAGCCTCCCATATAATAATACCTCTTTATTTTGACAGTTTTGGTCACAATTTACATCCGAATCGGCTTTCATTTTAAATATCCGATTTTTAGTTGGTAGCTTAGCTCCTCGAAAAAAAAAATTGAATTTGGGTTCCTTTTTTTTGTCCGAAATAAGATTTTCTTTGGATTTTCAGTATTTTGAAGGTTTTGGTCGAAAATTGTCAACCAAATCAGTAATAATTTGACATATCCGATTTTTAATGGGTCGTTTAACTTTTCGCAAAAAATATTCAATAGGTGTTCACGTTTTGAAAAATACCAGTATCTACGGATTTCCGATATTTTAAAGGTCTGGGTAACAATTTTGCACTTAAATCGGCAGTAATTTTAAATGTTGAGTTCATTGTGGGAAGTTTAACAGTTCCCAAAAAATATTCCATGAATGTTCATTTTTTGCTATAGCCCCCCATCACCGAGCCAAGGACCATCACTCCAAAATGGTCCATTTATAAAATATTTTGCTTGAAAATCTCATTTTTGTTGGAGGGCCCGAAGAGGTTTTGAGACTCCAGATATTGTTTCGAAAGCACATTCCAATTTTCGGGATTTTTGTGGTTTCAGGAACGGAACTCCCAAACTATGGGGATTTTGAGGAAAAACTATTTGGATAAGTCAACGTTTCAAAACGTGAAGGGTATAAAAAGTTCGTCCCGACCGAAATTTACGCCTTCTTTACCTCTTTCACTCATTCTCCTTATAAAATATGTTCCAAACTAGAATCACATGTTTTTGAAAACTATTCTTAAAAAAATTGCCAAAACGTTGAAGAACTGTCAAGTCATGCCTTGTGATTATGTGGGAGCCATACCAAAACAAATGTGAGATAAGATTAAATTTGCGTCAAAATTTTATGGTTTAATCTTTTCGTAAAAAAAATCCAGTTCCTATAGCTACTTAGAAATTCAATGGCGAACCGGTGAATATTTATACACATGATATCTAGATTTTGCAATTTTTTTTGAAAGAACACCAGACCTTATGGCCAATTTTGAAAACTCAAAATTACACCAAAAACAAAACTTATTAAATAATGGTTAAATATAAATAAACTTCAGTTTGTGTGTACTTACAATTTGCAAAAAAAACGGTTGAACTTTGATGGCAGGCAGACAATTAAACGTGCGATTAATCCATAGGTGATGTTGTTTTGCGTATTCAAAATTCAAATTATTTTAATTATTCATTTATTATTTTTTGTTTGTTTTGAAAACACTGACTTGATTCACTCAGATGTTAGTGGGCTTAATGTGGTATTTGGTTAGTGAAAGGTAAAACAGAAACAATTTTTACTACCAACAACTCACACACACACTCTAATAAAATTTTCCATAGATTTGTATTTTATTTATTATTATTTTTTTAATTAATATTTTTGATTTAGCACTTAATTTTTTGTTAACGTGAATTTACTGTATTCAAACGTTTTACGGCGTGTTGTATTTTAACGGAGGATATAGGTATAATATTTTCTCTTTTCTGAATATGTATAATTTTTTTTTTTGGTTTTGAAAATGAATATGAATTTGCAAATATAATTTAGTTTATGATAATATATATTTTCTTTAATTTTATATTATTTTCAATAGGAATGTGTATTTTAAAATTTCATATTTTTTATTTATTTGCTTTCTGTATAGGAACATAGACAATTAATATTTTTATAAATTTTATTTTATGTTGTTGTTTTTTATATTTTTTTACATTTCATTGAGGAATTATTTGCATGGTTTTTTTCAAGTGACTTTGCTTGCTTGTTGTTGTTGCTGTTAATAGGAAGCCTACAATTGCCCGAGAGATGATTGTATCAACACGTACGAAAGAAACACAACAAAAAGATACTCGGTTTGGGTATTTTGTTTGTTTTATTTTTCGCGAACTTGTGTAAAACTTAAGTTTTGTTTTCGTTTCTCTATTTTTCTAAATGGATTTTTTATCCGCCAAACAACCGGCACGCAAGATGATCTTACGGCTACTGACTGGCTAAACGTTTGATTATCTCAAATGTTGATGGTTGAACCAAAACGTACGAACGACCGAGCGAGCAAGCGAACAAACACAGACACCAACACAAACGCAGACACATGCCACCATTTAATAAACTTGCGCATACCAACAAATTGTTTTTGTTTTCATCTCTCAGATACTTTACCAATACGGCTGTTGGGAGGTGGAGGGTGGGAGGTTGTATTGTTTTCGTGTGCTTGTGTGTTTTTGAACGAGTTAGCTGTTTATTAATGTATCGAAGCTGTTTGTTATTCTCACACAGTTTTCTCATTTCATTTTGTATCTCAAACTTTGAGACTAAAAGTGTGTGTGTGTGACTCTCAGAGACAGTGTTGTCAATTTAGCCGATATTTAACACACGAAAAAGGAAAAAATGTGTGTGGAAATTATAGTTTTAGACCGTTTCGGAACATTTTGGGTTGATCTGTCCTCCCGTAACTCAGTGGGGTAAGGTGATTAAATTTTTTCTCCTTGGTATTGAAAATGGGACATATGGATCCATACTTGTGTACGGGACCTAATGTATCTCATTTTCCTGATTTTCGGTTTTTTTTATACCCTGCGCCACGTTGTGGTCAGGGTATTATGTTTTAGTGCATTTGTTTGTAACATAGAGAGATAGACCCATAGTTCGTTTTGATGATCTGCATAGATTCACAATCTGAGTCGATTTATACTTGTCCGTATTTTGTAAAAACAAGTTAAATGGAATTAGCCGGTATTGCCGGTATTGGTTATTTAAATATATTTTTCATAGGAGAGATTCCATAGGGGTGGATCAATATTTTCGATTTCGTATCTGACACAAGTCTGATAAAAATATTGAAACGTATCAGATTTGGATTTTTTGATAATATTTGGAAAAGTTCGCATTTTATGAAAGATATAATTATTTTTTATGATATTTTACTGATATTTTTTTATTATGTTGACCCGTTGTGGGGGAGGAACCAGAAGCAGTAGTCTGATATTGTCCATCTTCACAACACATCTTATGTTGATGGAGGTATTGCGATGTGCCGAGTTTAAAAGTAATCAGATGAACATTTTTGATTATTCCAAATTTTGACCCCATGTGGGGGAGGTACTAGAAGGAGTGGTCCGATATTGTTCATTTTCGCACCTGACCTAGCACTGACGCATATATTAGGATGTGCAAAGTTGGAGCAAAATAGGACTATTCTTTCTGTTTCTGTGCAGAAAATATATTTTTTGAAAATTTCGACCTTTTGTGTGAAAGGTACCAGAAGGAGTGGACCGATATTGTCCATCTCCGAAATCGATCTAAATTTGCAAAAATATTTACGATGTACCAACTCGACTCCAAATGTCCTGAAACGGATTTGACCCAAACCGTTATTTCAACTAAGCACGTTTTGGCCGTATCAAATAATATATATTCCATCTCTAGCCATATAGCTGAGGATATAAAAAGTTTGGGTGATGGATGGATTTTGGATTGGATTTCGGCACATAGGTTAAGATACAAGTATGTTCTATCCGATTTTTGGTATAAATTAATTTCAAAATACTAACGTGAATAATCAAATTCCATATCCTAACTTTCGGCATTTTGAAGGTGTGGGACACTGTTCCTCAAGATAACACAAAAACATCCGTTAAAATTCTGTCGAAATCTTAAAAATACCGAATATAGCCATTATATTGCGGTCTATACGAAGAAGTGCATAGGCCACTGTTGTCATAGACCATTAAAAAGATTTAAATACAAAATTTCAAAAAAATTCGATGAATATTATACCTTAAATCATCAAAATACCGAACATAGGGAGTTACCGATGTGTGGGGCCTATGCGAAGACGTGGACCTGCAATTTTCCGTCAAAGCTTGTAGTATCCATTACGAACTTCAAATACGAAATTTGACACAATTCCGGTAAATAATGTCGCGAAAATCCTGGAAATACCGAATATCTCGGGGTAGCGTTATATGGGTTCTATACTAAAACATAGACCTATGTAGAAAATTCTCCTTAACAGAACTCACAGACAACTCCTTGTGAAGGATTTTAGACAATGTCATTGAAAAATGTGATTAAAATAATTAAAACACCCAATATCGGGAGGTACAGTTATATAGGCCATATACGATATCGTGGACCTATATAGACTATTCTTTTTCAGGGGATAAAGTAGTCACGAAAAACTACTTGTATGGATTGTAAACCAATTCCATTGAACATATGGCTATAATCATCAAAATACCCAATATCGGGGGGGCACCATTGTTTGGGGGATTATACGATTTCGTAGACCCATATAGACAATTAGGGGAAAAAGTACTCACAGAGAACACCTTGTGTAAAATTTCAGATAATTCCATAAAAAAATATGGCTTAAGTCATCAAGATACCGAATATCGGGAGATACAGATAAAGGGGGGGGGGGGGGGAATATCGTGGACCTATATAGGCAATTCTTATTTGAGGGAACAAAGTAGTCATGAAGAACTCCTTGTAGAGAATTTCAGACATTTCCAAAATGTGGTTGCAATCATCAAAATACCGAATATCGGTGTTATCGTTATATGGGGACTATACGATATCGCGGACCGATATAGCCCATCCTTGAACTTGACCTACCTGCAGACAAAAGACATATCGGTGCAAAATGTTAACTTCCTATGTTTATTCGTTTTGACTCGTGATTAAAACAGACGGTGATTACAACAGACGGACGGATGGACAGACAGATGGACGCTGATCAAGAATATATGTACTGTTTTTATGCGTTGCTAGTAAATCTCTCCTTTAGCTCTTAAAAAATCATCCTTTTTTATCTGATCTTCAGCAAAACTGACAAGGTTTCTTTTTTTTTTTTTTTTTTTTTTTTGTAAAACACCTCAGTTTCGGTCAACTTTTCAATCTCATAGACCTTCAGTCATAGTATTATAATGATGTAATTCTAACTCATCTAAATCGATTTCTTGAAATTTAGATGTTTACCAAAGACAGTTAAATGGTCATGGGACAAACTTCTTAGAATTTAAGACCATCATAAACATTCTGACATCAATCTACCCTTTGTACTATGTATTGTGAAGTGTAGAAGTCTAATTGATGGCCAATTTCGGTATTTGTTCCCTCGGTACTCGTCAATATTTCGGATATAAAAGAAGTAACCTATAAGCTATTTCACTTTGAAAATGTGATTACATTGAATACTTTCTATATAACCAAATAACGCCTTTAGACTAATTTATATGCGATTATTCTAAAGTATCGAATTTGGTGCCATCAAAAAGCAGATCAACCTCATAATTTAATTGTTTTAAAAAAGTTAATTTGCAATTAGTTCATTACACACTTGCCACAGATCTAAAAGTTGGCGATTTTCTAACATCGATCGTATTGACAACACTAATTTCCACATCTTTCCGCCGTTGTGCTCCCCATACAATTGTGTATCTCAATCTCTCAGTTTTTACGGTTAAAGCTCTGTATTGTGTTTGACATGTAACCAGCAAAATAATAGAATCAATGTAGTGGTGTTTGTCACGTCGAAAACTTCACCGACGCAAAACAACCATACGCTCTGCTGTTGTACGTATGTCAGACGAACACAAAATACGTCTGCATTTCTGGTTGTGTTCTCGTTTCCGTGTGAAAACGTCTGGGTTTTGACAATGTATGTGTATGTTTGTTTTCCGCCCAAACATCAGAGAGACAGAGACAAAGAGAGAGAGTGTAACAAAGCCTTAATGAGAACACAAGACAAAATGTGGAATGAGTATATGGGTAAGTGTTGGTGAGTATCTGTGACACGTATCCGATAGAGTGGTTTGCAAATAAAGAGCGAGTGAGCGAGAGATTGGAATGGGGTTTTGTTTGGCACTCTCATGACATAACCTAGTGTAGGTATGAATGTTGTTAGTGTACGTTTTAGTTTTTTTATTGTTTTATTAGTGGAAGTCAGTTTTTGGTTTTGAATGCTGTAACAGTAGTCGTGCAAACAATATTTTACAGTAGTGGCGAAATGTTTTAGAGACAAAGCTGATTTCGAAATACTTCAACTGATAAAAAATAACGGCCATCAACAATGAGGGATTTCATTCAAGAAAATATTCATTAATAAAAATGCTCCAGGTTTACTAGTTTCACATTTTCGTTCCATTCATTGTTTATGTATCAGATCAGCCGTTATTGATCGATATAGAAATCGGTTATTACAGAGAGGGTCACCATATGCATGACAGTTCTACAAATGGTTGCGCCCAAATATTTTTCAAGATATGAACCATCAGCAATCCTTATATTGTCTAGTTATTATGAAGAACGACAAATTAAAGAAAATCTCCTAATATTTACCACCACCTTTGACGGCGACAAAATCGGAATCTACCAAGGGCAATGATGTATTCATCGCTTCTGAATCCATCATATCAAAATATTTGAGTAGAGATAGCTCGGCCCAGACAAAGGAAATAAACAAAACTTAGAAATTGTAAAGATAGGCTGTGCCTTGAGAATAAAAACTTATAGTGTCGTGCATCCGTGACATCATGTGACGGGAAGAGGAGATTTAACGGTGATTTTTCTGCCAGATCTTCCAGTGCCTATGAAAGCTTGAACACCAAGGATGCCAAATCAGAAAAGGGTAATCAAAGTTAACTCAATTTTACAAAGTTTTTATCGACAGGCGGTCTCTTTTTACTCGAGCAGAGATTAATCGGTCCAGCCTACTGAAGAAATCGAGAATGGTTGTACATCCCAAAAAAATAAATCCGTAGCAAAATGCGGTGTTGGTGGAAGTCTAAACTCTCTGTTCCCATGAAAGAACAAATAAGTAATAGTCGATTGCCTAACCCACAGTGATCATCGTAGCTACAAACTATATTCAATTTGGTTTCATTAAGAACTTTTCGTATACTTGTAACACACCTTTCAAAAGCACCTCTTTATTTATATTAAGTACTTTTAGTACATTTATGGATAGAATTTTCTAATACCAGCTTTATCTGAACCCTACACACCAATATTGACCCACATGTACAATTTCAAAA